GGGTGTGTGCGTGTGTGTGTAAGGGACGCATTATTCCTTCAAAAATCACAATCTTAACTCTGACATTTTAAAAGCCACTGATTAAAAAAAAGAATTAAAATAGATGTGTGATAAAATCACACATTTTAAATGCTATTCTGGGCATTCCTATTCTTATTGGAACTCTTAAAAATGCTCTAACTAGCCTGCTCAAAAGTCTCCTAAAATTAATTTAGTGTCAGTACAGAATGGGCAAATCATTCACGTGTAAATTACTTCCTACTTTCAGATTTGATCGCAATTATCCTTCAGGCCTGGTTTTTCCTCACTTTGTTCCCTATCTGGCCTTTTAGATTTGCAACCAATAATCAGAGTCATTCCTTGTCAAACTGGAAAATGAGCTCCAGTGCCCAGCATCCCTCTTGCAGACAGAGTACCTCACGTTGATAATGTAGAATTTGCCTCTGTGGATTTAAATCTCCAATCTTTTATAGAACCTCATTAATGCTTCTCAGATTACTGTGAAGCATGCGTATATAGTATAAGCTTTGTCATCAACTTTGCCAGTGAATCTCATTCTATAAGACAAGTATGCAGCCTGTTAAACGTCTAGAAATCCAGTCACCAGAAAAAGGGATTACTGTGAAGCATGAGTATATAGTATAAGCTTTGTCCTCAACTTTTCCAGTGAATCTTATTCTATAAGACAAGTATGCAGCCTGTTAAACGTCTAGAAATCCAGTCACCAGAAAAAGTATTTCTAAACAGAAGGCTATAAGCAGCTGTTGGGGGGCCAGGGGTGCTCAGAGTCAGATTTACGTTCTAAATTAAATCTTAAAAGTGAAAGCTGTGCAAAATATCATGTGTGCTATTTTCTGAATCAAAATTTGAACACTACAAAATCAGAACATTTTCAAATAGAGTCTCTGATTAATCACATGTCAATTTCAGTCATGAATTGCAGCACTCTGATTATATGAGGATTATGGCTAACAGGTTTGTCAAACTCTTCAACTTTCCTCCTCTCTCTCTCTCATGTGTCAGTCATATATATTTCTGTTTAAAATGAAAAACAAAGGGAAGGGGGAGCTAGATAAGTTTAATTCTACTGGAATTTAATTTAGAAGCTCAAACATTTTCCCTTCATAACCAAGCTCAAAACTGAAAAAGTACTGGCTTTTACTAACTTTTCACTTGTTTAGTTTCCCACTCTCTATTTAAAATTTATTCTTGGTGAGTTAACTTTAATGTCTTCAGGCAGAAAGAGCAAAATATACCATTCCTGCACTGGTGCAACCATAAATCATCTCCCAACAAACAGCAATATATTTTAAATCTAGAGCCTGATGTACAATCCTGAAGCAAGCAGTATCCCCACTGAGAGAAATGGCAGTTTTGACTGTTGGAATTGCAGGGTCAAGTGACTTTCATGTTTTTTTGTGATCTTACACTTCATTTCACTTACAGGCTGAAGCAGGTAGATGAGGGAGCATTCTTGAATAGTCAAGTGACTTTCATGTTTTTTTTAATTTACACTTCATTTCACTTACAGGCTGAAGCAGGTAGATGAGGGAGCATTCTTGAATAACTATAACTGGAACAGGAGTGATGTTAGTTGCATGGAAGAGAGTCTCCACTGATGCCATGATTTGGTCAAAACGTCCCCCAAGTCCACCCAAGGTCACAATCATATCAATCTAGAAGAAAAAAAAATCAAGGTAAAAAAGGAGAACTTTAAGAACAGTTATTTAAAAAAAAAACAGTTTATACGATGGGACCTCAAACAAGGTTTTAACTACAGAGACTTTTGCCCAAATGAACAGTCCTTTGGAGCAGGTATGTTACTCCAAGATTTGGCAATTTGCCTGACCGATGACTTCTACAGTATCTATGGGCTACTGCTGGCATGTTTGCAATTCCACTAACTTCAGTTAATTTGGACCTATGCCTTTTTGAACTCATTGGCAGCTCAGACATCCAGATCTTCAGAGATCCTTTAACTCACATTAGTTGCCCAAATGCTCATTAATTAAACCCAACAGCAACAACGGATGACACTTTTGAAGATAGCATCTGTAAAGACACTTGTGCTGTGCAGCTATAAGAAAAATAGAGCCTGCCATTAATGTCATTCTAGTACCACTGAATGTTATCATGTGATTCCTGGGTTAATAAAATGTCATGTATTTTTCACAGCTGTCAACTAATGCTTTATAAATTCAAGGTTAGTGATGGTTCATCTGATAACTAAAGAACAGTTATAACATCACGCATGCACATAATATTTTTCATCCACAGATCTGAAAGTCCTTTAACAAATATAAATATTATCCCCATTTTACAAGAGAGGAAAACAAAGTAAATAAATTGATTAGTTCTTTAATCCAGGAGCAGACCCATCAATTGGATTGGGCTACTCAATCAGTTTAGTATTAATCAGTGTAAGGATAGCAGAATCTTGCCCTGAGTGATCTACATTTTGCCCAACAAGTCAGTGACAGAGCCAGGAACAAAAGCTCAGGTCTCCTGTACAGTTCCCTAACCAGTAGAAAATGCTGTTTGGAATAAATCACAGTCTGGTTCCAACCTCAACAGTCACTCAACAAGCAAGGCACAACCTCTGTATGTTGCACCTTCCCTTACCAGTAAAATGGTAACATTTACCACTCTTTGTAAAATGTTTTCAGATCCTCAGACATAAGGTACTATCTACATGTAAACTATGAGTATTATTAGTACCATAACATAGGTCACTTATGCTCAGTAATTATTTTTTTAAGATGCTATTTTCACATTAGTCATGACTAGAGCTTTGCCACAATGTAGCTCTAAAACTTTTACAGTCTGCTTTGACAATGGCCATCTGGTGGATTTTCTAGTTTTATAGCGCTTTAGTCTACAGCCAGGGCAAATACGTGACATTTTACTCAACCCATGGGCCACATAATGGTACTTTGTGTATCTGGAATGATATATTAATAAACATCAGCTTCTATTTTTATCACAAGGACTAGAACTTTATGATTCAATTGCCTACTTGTCTGCATGCAAATTAAGTCCTTTTCCTTTAGTCAAGAATATTGCCACGTCTTCTATTACAGTTCTACCAAAACAACCCTTCCCCCAAATCCCTACACTGAACTAGTGTAATAATTTTCCTTAGCTGTGAACATTTAAATAAACATCCAGATTCTTCCAACAGAGAAATCACTATTTTCTTATGTTGATAAAGATCACAAAAAATCCAAAATAAACTTAGGATAACTATAAAAGATTCTTACAGGTCTTCTGTTTAAAAAAGCTATACAGCCAAGGTCTCCTGTTAATTAAGCTACATTTTTCATTGTATTATTTCTATTGTAGAAACAACCTGTTTTAGTTTGACTGGAAGCAACTCCTGTTTAACAGAGCTGAATCTGATGACATATTTTTAGAAAGAAAGAATTCCTTTAAATCACTAACAGAAAGGCCCCAAATCTGCAACAACAGCATGAGAGTGGATTGTTGCACCCATCTGGAGCTCCACTGACTTCAAGGAGACTCTGAAAAGACTCACCGGGTTACCTGCATAGAACATATGGTCAGCTATAGGACTGGGGCTTTAATTATCCCCAATGATCCAATTTTCAGAGAGCTAAGCAACTGCTCTTCAGTTTTATGGCATGGGTTTTCTACCATATGGGTACCCACAAGGATTGTTTTCTTTCCTTGGGCCTTGAAGGGGAAGCATTTTATTTTGCCCTGTTGAACTATTATAATACAATTTTAATATTACACCTGGAAATATTCAAGTATACAATATTTAACGTGGGTGAATGAGAGGGATAGAAATGTGCCTAGTATTCCTCATGCACTATATTTCCCTCTCCCAAAAGCACTGCCAATTTGGATGCTGAATTTTGCTCTTAATCTATGCACAAATTATACCTCTTTCTAAGAGCAATAGGATCTCTTGGAAATAATATTGTCAAGTCTTAGCAATTATTTTGTGATACTGGTAAGAGACTGCTAGCTAAGAAAAAATAGTTTTTCTATTAAAAAGAATACTATCGTACGATACAAAACCATGTAAATATTATTTCATTTAAAATAATGGTACCACACTATTTAAAGAGATTAGCATACAATACAGTAACTTTTTTTTTTTTAAACAAAAATTAGTTCTTTAATGTTTTAAACATCACAGGAATATCATGCTGAGTACAAAGCTATAAAATATTAGGGTTGGGTTAAAAAGATATTCATTTTCACATGTTCTTTGTATATATTATTCAGGAACTATTAGGACGTGGCAAAACGTAATAGAACTGCGATGAGTAGGGAAGTATAGATGACAGCATCATCATCACAAAAGCAGGAAGAGTACAATATTTTTGATGTTTTGACCATTGCCTTGCAAAAGAAACATGGCATCAATGGTGACAAACAGATGCAGATAATATTCTGATTTCTTTGAAGGATTTGTTCGAAGCACTAGGTGCTTCAATGCAAACATCTACTTCTCTCTTGCTTGCCTACCCACCACAAAAAAAGAAAAAAAAAAATCACAGCCACACCATCCAAGACCTACAATTCCCACTTGTAAAGTCACAAACCAACAACCAAGAAATCTTCTCTGTCTTTGATATGCCTTTCAGTGTGACACAAAGACAGACAGACAGACAGACAACACAAATATTCCCCCTCCCCAGAAATCCTGCTTATTTTGGGCTATGAGGCAAAGAAGGAATGAATTCCAAAGCCCAGAACCTCTTACAGATTAAGGGTATGTCTATACTTGCCCCCTAGTTCGAACTAGGGAGGCAAATGAAGCATATCGAAGCTGCAAATCAAGTGTGGGATTTAAATATCCCGCTCTTGATTAGCATATTCGTGGCCGGTCGCCATTTTAAAATGCCGGTCGCCCGATTTAACTTGACGCGTGTAGACGCGGTAGTCCGATTTAAAACCTTTCCCTCAAATTTACTGTTACTCCTCATGAGTGGTAACAGTTAATTAGAGGGAAGGGTTTTAAATCGGACTACTGCGTCTACACGCGGCAAGTTAAATCGGGCCACCAGCATTTTAAAATGGCAACCGGCCGCGAATATGCTAATCAAGTGCGGGATATTTAAATCCCGTGCTTCATTAGCAACTTTGGTATGCTTCATTTGCCTCCCTAGTGACATATCATAAGACTTATCCATCTTTAAATGATATACTTGTGAATTCATGTTACAAAGGATTTCAGGAGTTACAGCAAGGAAGTATGTTAGTATTACTCTATTGTAAGAAAAATACGTTACAAATACTATCTTAGCGTCACACTGTGATCCAGCAGCTCAAAGACACTGTGATTTCTCTCTCACCCAATAAGAGTCAGTTCTGAACCCATGGTAACCAAGAGGAATAAAGGCTGCCATCACATCATGATCAAGTTGCCTAGTTTTTGCTACCATTCCTATTGTGAATATGGAAATGGAAAACTGGCTTTTAACAATATTCCTACGTATACATTGGTCTCACTGATTTTCTTCTTTCATATGTGGATAGATTAATAATATATTAATTAGAGATTAAAAAGATGTACATTTAAAGGAACAGGTAAAAGGGAGAAAGGGATGGAGCTAGGGAGCAGAGTGAAATGAGTGAAAAAAGTTTCCTAGGTATATGTTGCTATGTATCTAGAAGCCAAATACAAAGTTGAGAATCACACAGAGCAACCACTTTCCACTCTTTTGCAGCACCTTCACAATCAGTCCCTGGTTGAATGTCAGACTATTCTATCTAGACTCTCATACTGTGGTCATTGTACTAGGTACCACGAACATGCAGATCACTGTGGGTTGGTCTTTTCAAGAGGAAAGAGCACAATCTCCCAAGAACTAGATGGTAAAAGGCTTCTCTTATTTGTTGCCATCTCCATATCTTACAGCAACCTTGAGACCGTGCACTGTGGAAGACCCAGACCAGGGGGTGATGGTAGTTTGATAGAAGATAAATATACTGGCCACTGGATGAATAGTTTTCCCTTTGCTGAGTGACTAAGGCAGAGACTGCTGCTGAACAACCAGAAAGATCCCGGAGCCAAATTAAAGGCTTGCCAGAAGCAAGAGAAAGAATGGGTAATCAGAACACCTGCAGCCCATTAAGGACTTGCTGGGCCTAGTTTAAAAGGCTCCCCTTCAGGGAGGATGAGGAGCTAAGGATTGGGAGTGAAGAGGTGCACTGTGGAAGAGTTGATAGGATGTGGTCAGGTACAAGGAGGAAGATGCTGGGAAGGGTTTTATGGAAAGTAGCCCAGGGAAGGGCTGTAGTTCTGGTAGTGGAGGAAACACTACATGTTGCCACTATCATTAGGGTCCCTGGAATGGAACCTGGAGTATAGGGTGGGCCCAGGTTTCTCTCAAACCTGCACACACCACTGCAGAGCCTACACCTGAAAGGGGAGGTTAAGACTAAAAAGGGGTTTCATCCCAAACCTGTTTAATTGGCTTATGATGAAAGTGGCTCAGTAGTCTGTGACCCCTGATCTCCAGTAAAGGGAGAGAGACAATGTTGAGGGTCACAGTGAGCCTCTGGAGGCAAGTGCTAACTGCCTAGAAGCACAGGACTGCCAAGGCAAAGCCAGAGATCTGCCACAGGCACACAAAGGGAAAATATCTTCCCATTGATGATAAGGTAAATAATCTGGGACCATTCTTCAAAGGGCATTTAT